TGAAGAGGCTTTAGAAAATTATGATTCAGCAATATAGAAAAATCCAGAAAATTCAACTTATTATTTTAACAAAGGTATAATTATACTGGTTGATTCTTAGCTAATGCTCTATGTAAAATGAGCAGATTTGAAGAAGCTTTGTAGTATTATGATTTAGCAATTTCGAAAAATCCAGAAAATTCTGAATATTATAGAGGGAAAGGTATAATAAAATATGGATGATTTCTAAGCTAATACTCTAGATAAAATGTACAGATTTTAAGAAGCTTTGGAGTATTATGATTCAGCAATTTAGAAAAATCCAGAAAATTCAGAATATTATAATGGGAAAGGTATATACAATATGGATAATTTCTCAGCTAATACTCTAGATAATATGAACAGATTTGAAGAAGCTTTGGAGATTTATGATTCAGCAATTTAGAAAAATCCAGAAATTTCTGAATATTATAATGGGAAAGGTATATACAATATGGATAATTTCTCAGCTAATACTCTAGATAATATGAACAGATTTGAAGAAGCTTTGGAGATTTATGATTCAGCAATTTAGAAAAATCCAGAAAATTCAACTTATTTTTATAATAAAGGTATGGTTAAACCTGGATGATTTTTTAGCTACTACTCTAGATAGAATGAACAGATTTGAAGAATCTTTGGAGTATTATGATTCTGCAATTTAGAAAAATCCTGAAAGTTCTAACTATTATTATAATAAAGGTATAATTAAATTAGGGTGTTTTATTAGGAAACACTCTACATAAAATGCACAGATTTGAAGAGGCTTTGGATTATTATGATTCAGCTATTTAGTAAAATCCAGAAATTTCTGAATATTTTAATGGCAAAGGTATAAATATATCCGGATATATCTAAGCTAATGCTCTAGAAACAATGAACAGATTCTAAGAAGCTTTGGAGAATTATGATTTAGCAATTTAGAAAAATCCACAAAATTCAACTTATTATTCTAACAAAGGTATTATAATATTTGGATGGTTTCTTAGCTAATACTTTAGATAAATTGTACAGATTTGAAGAGTCTTTAGAGAATTATGATTCAGCAATTTTACAAAATTCTGAAGATTCTGACAACTACTTTAATAAAGGTATAATTACATTTGGATGAATTCTTAGCTAATACTCTACATAAAATGAAGAGATTTGAAGAAGCTTTGGAGTATTATGATTCTGCAATTTAGAAAAATCCAAAAAATTCAAATTATTATTTTAACAAAGGTATAATTAAATCTGGATGATTTCATAGCTTGTGCTCTAACTAAAATCAACAGATTTGAAGAATCTTTGGAGTATTATGATTCTGCCATTTCGAAAAATCCAGGAAATTCAAAGTATTTATAGGGCAAAGGTATTTTAAGATATTTGTCAATTTTTAGCTTTTACTTTAATTAAGATGAATAAAATTTTAGAAGCATTTAAAATTTTAGCCATATATTTCCAAATTTGAAATGATTTCTTCATTTAAATAATTATGCAGTTTCAATTAATACTTTTTTTTTTTCTATCGCTTTCTTAAATCTTGAGATTTACTCCAATATGGAGTTACCGTTTAATATCTGCATCAACTTATTTTAAATTTCATTAACAGATATTTATTTTAAGCAAAATAAAACACAAACAAATGTTCATTATCTTTCTACAATTCTTCTAAATTAAAATATTACATAGTTATTTCAAATTAATCGCAAATGTAATTCTATTTCTCTGAAAACATTTTTTCAAGATATTATTGTAATACTTTCATTTTCTATTTTTACTTTCTAACTTAACCCACTCTTTAATATTTTAATTTTTTTAATTAAACCAATTTTGAAAACAAATATTAGGTATATCCATCATTGTAAAATGTTTATATTTAAGATGTTTTTAGTTTTCGACTACTATGTCAAACCCATTCTTTATTGTATTGTATATTCTGATTCTTATGTATCCTAAAATGAGAATATGAAATTTCACATTCCTAACATTAATTTAAAAACCTAATAAATAAACTCAATTAAGATTTTGCCATTCAGAGGGTTTTTTGAAGGTTTTATTAGACTTATTCAATTAATTGACTCAAAAAAATGTTGTTCAAATCAACTTTTTACTAGGTTATTCTGTTGATATTTTCAACATCATAAATCATATCAAGTAAATCACAAATTTGTTTGATGGAATATCTAATAATGGAACAATCATTTTAAATCATATAAAAATAGAATTAAAACGAAATACTAATAATCTCCTTATAATTTGGGAAGATGAATTATTTAATCTTTGTATATAATTCCTCATCCAAATCTATTTGCCATTTTCTCCATCCTTATAAGATCCACTCTAATACAATTTTAAATTATATAAAATATAATATGAACAGATTTCATTAGCAAAATAAATCAAAAAAATAATTAAAGGCGCTTGATTATTTGGAACTAATTGTTATCCTAATTTACTTAGGAAAACTGCTTTAAATACAAAATATTCAAATATCAGTAAAACAAAAAAAAGTAAAAATTCCTAATTCATAAAAACTAAAAGGATGGATATTTAAAATTAATGAACGAATAATCTTATAAATAAATTTTAATTTGGTAGTTCGATTAAAAGATACTCGATATTAAATTAATTTCGTAGTGCTTATACATCTCTGTCTTAATGAAATAAAAACTAATCATTATTTTCATTACAATTCTACCTAAACAATTATTTTCTAATTTAAGATGTTTTAAAAAGTATTTAGGAGAAAGACAAGGCTGCATGAAATTGATAAAACAAAAGTATTTAATTATATAAAACACATTCAATAAATTTTTTTATTTGATGAATAAAGATGATGTTGATTTGTAAATCTATTAAATTATGACTAATTTTAAATCATAGATATTAAAGGTTTAAAATTTTAACTTTAGTATGAGTAGATTAGTTTAATATAATAGTGAATAAGAATACTAAAATCATACCTTTTTATTATGTTAATTCTGTAACTATATAAATAGTTAAGTTACAAATCGCATTTTAATTTTTTTTAAACTCAAGCAGAATCAATTATATTTGCTTTTCATTCAACTAGTGACTTAAAAAATAACATTCAATTAATTTTTGATTCAATGGCCTTCTTTAGGCTAAACCTTACTAGTAACGAAATTTTATTAAAAAAATATATGTAAATTTTTAATTGGTACATTTTCATCATATATAGATTCTTATCCTATTTATAATATTCATATATTACTTCCATATTTTTTTATAATTTTGAAATTTAATTCAATATTGAAATACATTTAACAATTTAAATAATATCTATAACTCAATACAGTTATTGACGACTTTAAAACTACCCCATTTATAATAATTGTAAGATAAAATAATAATGACAATATAAACCTGAGATAAATCTATTAAATATATTCGATTTCGTTGTTAATATCGCAGTGCTTTTTTTTATGCGTTATTTTGATTTTAAGTTCATTTTTATAAAGTCTCTTGCTTTTTATGAAAACTATTTTTCTGCTTCAACAGAATTTATCATCTAAAATACCTAAAAATTTCATTCATTACATTTTTGACTTAGGATACATTTTTTCCCAAACATTTACTTTCCTACAACCAATTCTGCTTATATTGAACGTTTCATCACATAGATTATGAAATGCGTAATTAAATTTCGTTTATTTCTTTCGTTTAAGATTACAGCTTCTGGCTTTATTGATGAATTAGGTTTAATTTCCAACCTGTTAATTTTTTAAGATATAATATGATTATTGAGGTGCTGCTTCTTATTGGATGAATTCATCATCCTAAGGATTCTCAATTAGGTCTCATAATTGCATTGTTTTATATATTTCGAGAAATGCTTTTCCTTCTTAAATTTTCTGCATAATTAATAATATTTTCAGATTATTAAGACAATTTTCTCTTAAGTATCATATAAATTTTAAAGGACTTAAATTATCATTCTTCACTTTAATTTTCTATATATCTAAACTTCTCAGTCCCAAATTTTTCATAGTCTATTCCAAAAATTATTCTGCAAAACAATTTATTGATAGATAAAATCTGCTTCTAACCCACTTTTGTATTATTCTACCAACTTATTTCATTTCTTATTTAAAAGGCAAATGAGTAGTAATATCCTTATATCAGTTGAAATCATCTCAATTTCGTAAATCTCATCATCATGATCATTCTCTGTGATGTTAAAATTTTAGAAGTTCTCATTTTCGGTTAAATTTACATTTTATACCTCCGACTTTGCAATGAGTTGATCCATTTATTAACAAATACTAAGTTGGGTCTCAGTTCTACAAATAAACAACACAGAATTAATTTGTAACTATGCATGCCATTATTCATTTCCTATTTTTGCCACTTTCTGAATTGTAATTAAGATCCCAAACTTTTATACTTACTGTAATCATATGGATAGAATTTATAAATTGGGGTATTATAGCTTCAACTTAATTTTTAACTTCTTCTGTTCTATCCCAGTCTATTTTTTCTTTTTCGTAAATTTGGAGAATAATACTGAAAACCAGAACCAAAGCTTAATTTTTTTATAAAAACACTCTTAGTTATTGCATCGCCACTTTAACAGGATTTTCCTAAGATAGAGTAATTTTATTATATAGTGTGGTTTGCCTGTTCCAGTTTTCCCTATAATACGATTGACATATTAAATTATAAACACCCTAAGGCTGATCTAAGTTTAATTCTATTTAACCAATAATATTAACTACAAGTAGGTAAGTGGTAAATGAAATAAATAAACTGTAATTATTTAAACAAATTCAAAGTTTTGGAATAGGAAGGTTGTAATTATTGTGTTAAATACACTATCATACTAAATAAAGGTTTATTTATGAGTTAGATTTAGAAACAAAAAATAGATGTAACTGAATTCTAATAAAAAATAAATAAACCATCAAAATAAATTGAATCCTCATTTTCCACTCATTCAATAATGGACTCTGAATAATTTCAAACTAATCGCAAATTTAGGAATACCAGAAGAGAATAAAGAGAACCATTTCAAATAAATCCCATAATTGTTTCTGGAATCAAAGATTTTTATGTTAGTTATTCAACTCTATTATAGATTAGTTTGAAATTGTAGTCATAGAATTCATATTTGTAAAGTTTGCTTATTTACTTTTTAATCATATTTTAGAGGGAAAGAGCCATAATTTATGTGTTTGATATATTTCAGATACATATTCTATGCCATCTGAATTAATAGTTAAAATTACATTGTCCAAAAGAATGAGATCATAAATTTAATTATCCACTATTTGATTAATTCTAATGTTAGATTAACTTCTATATTCTCAAAGCCATCATCATAATTAAAGACAGTTTTTAATCCTTTTTTCAGCCTTAAAAATTTTTTCTTTACTTTATCGCAAAACAATTATTTTCTTAAGCTTTGTTGATATTACAGGAATTATTTAATTTAATGCAATTCTAATTGGAAATTGATATTCAATGATATATTGTTATTGGGTGTGGTTTATTTGTCTAATGCTTGAGAGGACAATTAAAAAGCAGTATATTTCTATTAAATATTATAACTAAGGAAAAAAAATGAATTGAATTTCGCAACATTTTCATATTCATGTCTTACTGTACATTATGTGAACATATACAAAATAATTACAAGATAGAAAGAAAAAAAGATAAATAATACAGATCATTAACTTATTTTTATAACGTTCCTTGAACTCTGATGTGATATTGTGAAATTAGATTATATCAATATTCTATAAATTATAAATTAAGAGTTCGTATAGATGTAAAAATAGGCAAATATCGGAAAATTCTCTCTAATCATATGAAAATATAATACTTGACACTCTGTATATGATTATGTATATATAAAATACTTCTTAGCTTTGACAGTTATTTTTTTAGGCAATTCTGTTAAAATGATACTTATTCAAATATAGCAAAATTAATTTTTAAACTACTGATTTTACTTGATTCAAATATTGTAAAGATTATTCAGCTAGTAGGATCTTGATAATAAAATGTGATTACGTTGGTATGCCTCTATTGTTTGAGTAATAAATTTTTGTTTGTAAAAAAGGATTTGTGCAAAACATGAAATATCATGTGATAGCACCTAATTATCCAATTAAAATTCTTCATAATCTAACATCTAAAATAATATCAATAAATCGATAATGACCATGTACAATAAATAAATAGTTTTATGTACATTAAAATAATCTTCAGACGATTGACTTGTAAATGTTTTTTATCTTTGCTTCCATCATTAATACTATTTTCATAAAAATCACTAATTTAATCCAATTACATCTTTATTAATTATATTTTTATTTAAAAATCATAAATAAAGAACCGAAATGCGATAATTTTGATTTTTTAATAAAATTATCTATTCGATTCAATTATTTAAAGACACTGGATTAGTTACTAATAGATTGATATCTTACTAAAGTCTTGAATATTGTATAAACTTAGTAATTATATGAACTTTAGAACTACTTAATATCTCAAGTTATACCTGCTTTGCAATCCTCAAATTTTCAAAGTAAATTTATTAGCAAGAGAAAAAAAGTCGACAGTTTACAGTATAAAGGCAAGGTCAGGATATAGAGAAGAACCATTCTTGTAATGATAAATTATTTAGCAATATTTGTAAGTCAATTTTGATGCGGCAATAATATCATTGTATGGAAGAAAAATCGTAAACCTATAGCTATTAACTCTTATTTGTGATTTCAATTTAATGGTTTAATTATTTCCACCTTGTTGAAATAAAATTTCAAATTTTTTAAACCATAGTAAAGGGATTATTTAACTAAATCTCAAATACTATCCTGCTAATTTTGACAATGTAGATTAATATATAACATATTAAACTTTTGCATATTGATTCAAATTCTAATTCTTTTTGATAATAATTTGAGAATTTAGAAGTAAAGCCACTTACAACGAAATTGAATAAAATCTTAATTTAAAGAGAAGAAAGTTAAATATTTATTCGGGATAAATCAAGGTTTTAAAAGCTTTACTAAAATTACTATTCTTACTTCATAAGCCAATGATAAAAACCAAATAAGATCAGACTTTTTTTTCAAAAAATTTTAATGATAAGATTTTATCTTTGATTTTATAATATGTGGTTTCATTTTAAATAAAAATGACAAAAAATTTTTAAGTGAATATAATCGATTCTAGTAGAAGAATGTGGATTTACTAACTGAAATAGTCTTATAAATATAAATTATAATTATGTTCAATATTAAAAAATATCTACAATTAAGTTATATTGCATCTTTAAGTTCCTAGCTTATACCACTTTGATTGTATTGTATTGTAAGGTAAATTAAATGCTGCCACTCTTCTTTAAGGGGATTTGATATGTATGAACACTGTTATTTATTTTAATTCCTAGATTGAATATGTTGATGAATGATTCGAGGTTTTTTCAAGTAAATGACAGCAAAATCCTTCTATATAATATTTTTCAGTTATTTTACCTAACTATTTTAAATGAATATAACTTTAAGTGAGATAATTTACTACGTACACAGGTAATGAATATGATAAGTTGTGTCAAAACAAAAACAACAAAGAAGAGTTATAAAAAGCACAAGTATATTATGTTATAGTACAATAGTGTAAGTTGTAGAAAATAGTTGTAAATTTGTTGCAAAACAATAGTATGTTCCCTTAAGATTTTATTTGAAAAGTTTTAGAATAAATAGGTTTGTTGTTATTATATTATTACTATATTATCATTCTTGCTAATGTTTCAATTCTTTCTAAATTATTCTTAATTAAAAAAATGCATAATTAAAGACAAATTGAGTTCTAAACAATCAACTTCAGACATTAAATAAGGTAATATAGTACAAACTAAATAATAGGATTCCAAAACTATTAAAATAATGAGGCATTATTGAATAAAGATAATTTTCATAAAAGAATTAATAGTGATTTAAGAGCAGCTTGACAAATTAATTATTATTATATCATCTATAGATATTAAGAATTAGATTATTGATAGAATTTCCAAAAAATTCAAAATAGACAATAATCATTATTCTATTAAAAAAAAATAATGTATGAAATTATAATTATGCATTTAGCCTAAACGAATTCAATTATGGATAGCAAGATTATGATAGCATTTCTGGCATAATCTCATACATCAAAAATTCTTTTATTATTTTGTAAGAATTAATACATATACTTTTGAATTCTAAAAACCATGATGAGGAGAGAATGCTAACCGAGAATAATAGAATGGAAAGATTGCCATAAGTTAAAGGCATAAAATCATTTGCTTAATTAGAAAGATGACACCCTTAACAAATAACTTAATAATTAGTAAGAAAAGAAAGTAGAATAAAGAGTAAGAACAAAACTAAGAAATTTGGGTTATTCTCCAAAAACATCTCAAAACAGTTACAAGTCTGCAAAAGCTAAAGATCTAAATATAGATTATTTAGAGTGCACGGAACGGTTTATCGAGTAACGTAAAAAGTATGAGCTTAATCAACAAAAGTAAATGTGTTTGAATTGAACTAAGAAATTAGTAATCACCAATATTATGACCTTAGTAGTTATATTTCAGTATTGTGCTTTTGATTTATTAAAATATTACGATACTCATATAAGTAGGTTGCACAGTATAAATTGTAAGTTGAAAGGAAGAGTTTTAAAATGATGTTAAGTAACAGCTTAACTTCATATAATGCATCTGTTTTGTACTTTAGAAAGTATAATATACTTTGGACAAGCAATTTGAAATCAGGGTATATTAATATTCGTGATTTTAAATATTATTCTAATAACTTTAAGTGCTAATTATCTATTAGCTAAATTTTACTTATCTATATTTGTACTCAATAACAATTTGTATTATCATCTTCAATAAACTTCATATAAACTTATTATTATGTAACTTAATTGAATAATGAGGAGGACTTTACAATAAACTATTATATTATTCTGCGGATTTGAGGATAAATTTTATTAATTCAAACCTTATTCAACTTCTAAGATTTTGACACTTTTATTTTTATAGTTGATATTAGAAAATTGTGGATAATCATTTTTCAGTAGAACTGATTAGCCTTATGTTAAATAAAGGTTCTTTAACAAAATTTTAAATAATATATATTGATTAAACAATTCATCCATTCATCTACATATTTATAGCAATATTATTAAATTATATCATTTAATTTTGATTTATTCTTACTCATCTTTTGAAGAAAGCCAATCAAAAAGAAATAGAGCCACCCCATTTTTAGAAACCAGAATTCGTTCTCCATAAAAAAAATAAAATCTTGATGATTTGTTAAAATAATAAAATAAAGAATCAGAAAAGCAAGCCATTATGCTCGAAAATTAAGCAATAAAATAAGTTCCTACTTCATCAATCATTATACTCTTAAGCATGTCATAAATTCTAATTAAATCACAAATTAGTTTTACCCAAATAATGCTCCAAATTATATTACTCTAATAGAGACATGTTAGAAACTAAAAATTATTTACTCCTAAGAAAGTTCAGTATAGAGAATTAAGATGAGCAGCAAATACAAAAGAATGCAGAAATAACTTATTTATTGTAAAATACTTTAAAGGCTAGATAATATTGATATTTCTATAAGCCCTTTCCTTTATATAAAATCTTATACACCACGCTAATGAGTTCCACTTTACATCATGTAAAAATTATTTTATTAATCTTTTGAACTCGTGTTCATTTAGAAAACTATTTTGAATAAAACTATCTATAATTTGCTATATTACTTTATTTTCTGATTCCAAACTTTAACCAATCCACTTGAACATAAAAATTGATTAGCTGAATGATAATGTCCTGTATATCTCCAGAAATTTGATAAGTTTTCAACCATTTCAGAAAAGCAACCTGATACACCATTATAAAGCAAAATATAATTATCGTTCATAAATATAAAATCAATTCATTGTTTTATCTTTACTTCCTGATATGAACAGTTCTTCATTATTATTCAAAATTAAACAATAGATACAACTACTAAGTTCATAAAACATCTTAACAGATCCATTAACTATGTTAATCCATAGACCAAATTATAATTTATAAGTAACTGCCAGATATAAATTGGGTTGACTTCTTCATAAAATTTAAAGCATAAACAGTTTTTTAATGTTCACTTAGAAGTTGAATTAGTGTCAACTATTCTTATTTAAATTGATAAACTTTGATCTTATTATTACACCCAGCTAATATAATTGAATTATCTTAATTAATAGCAATTGCATTACACTATTCACTATATTGAATTGAATGATTCTATATTAAATTATAAATGAATAATTATTCGTTATTTTCTTTTGTATTAGTACTTGATTATTCTAATGTGGTTGACTATTATACTCCTTAAAAGTATTCATCAATTTTGTTTTGATGTTAGCCAGGGATATGCATTGATAATTTTTATTAATTTATGTATTCAATTAAACTTAATTCAAATATAAATAAATTTCTCTTTTATGCTACGTAATATGAATATAAGGATCTTATTATTGAAATAGAAATTTATATTATGGCAATGAAATTGCACTATTTGGATATTATTCCTATTTTTGGGAAATCTAAGTGAAATCGTAGGAATAGGGGAACCGAAAACGAGCTTTTGTTGAGAAGAATAAAGAGCTGCTGGATGGAAAAGAAAGGGAGAATCTATGGAATGAGAGAATTACTAAAGTTAAAGATGAAAGAATACCAAATAGAGATAAATTTTGATGGAAAAGGGCTAATACTCTATGATGAAGACCCCTCTTATCATTACTCCCATAATATGGATCACCAAGAAGTGTGAGGAAAAAAGTTGTTTAATTAGATATTTTCAGAGAAAATAAGTATTTATCATTAAATTAAATTTAATGATTCATGATTTATAACTAAAATGAAGATTTGATAGAATTATCTTAATATACAATAAAGTTTTTAAATTTTCCTTACCATTAGAATGCAAAATCAGAATTGAAAAGAACTGGTACCCAAATACAATACCAAGTATTATTGAAGCCAAGATAATCATACACAGATTTCTTTAGCGGCAATTGAAATAACAACAAGTTTAATCTAAAATGAAAGTGGAAATCTTTTTGACAATTACTACTTAAAGTTAAATTCAGCAATTAAGTTGGTTGATACAGATTCTGAAAATTATGAATTAATTCAAAAGTATGTTGATAATACTTATGGAAGTACTTATTCTTCTTTACAATCTCAAAATTTTAGAAATATTTAAGATTAAGAGGAAAGGAGAAAAGGATAAATTTAAGAATGTGGGCAATAGGATGTTGTTATGGCATGGTTCAAGATTAACAAAGTTTGTAGGTATTATGAGTCAAGGCTTAAGAATTGCCCCTCATGAGGCACCATGTACTGGATATATGTTTGGAAAAGGAGTTTACTTTGCAGATTCCGTTTCTAAATCAGCAAACTATTGTTGTGCCTCTTCTTCAAATCCTGTTGGACTAATTTTATTATGTAATGTAGCTCTATGAAAATGGTAGGAAAGAACTGAGGCCGATTATGAGGCAAGTAATTTAGAACCTGACTGTTAAAGTACAAAAGGAATTGGGAAAATGGCTCCTGATGAAACTGTTGAATTTTAAGATATGAAAGTTCTGATAGGAAAACCAGAGGATCAGCAACTTAAGAGCGATTTGATGTGCAATTAATACATAGTTTATAATGTGGACTAAGTAAGGATAAAATATTTTGTAAAATTAGAATTTTTATATAAATAACAAATGAAGTGAATCTGATGTATATTTTATATCCTAATTTTTCACCTAATCTTTTTAACGTGATTATTATGAGTTAAACTGTTTAGATTAGAATTATCATTATTAATTATGCGAGTTTTTGATAATTAGATTAAGAATCACACATCATGCTCAATTACAAACTATCGTTTAAAAACATTATAAAAGATCTATCAATATCAGTAGGGTCTTTTTAAAGTTCTATGAAAGGTATAAATTTATCTATCTTAAGATAATAAGACTCTTTATTTGTTCCCTTAAATTGTTTTCTTAAATTTATAATTTATATTTTAGCACATCATAATTTATGATACAAATATGGTGCAAACTTTATAATTCATATGCTTGTTGAACCTTTATTTCAAGTAAATTAGCCTAACCACCATAACCAGGCCGATTACTCTACATCAACTTTATAAATTGATCAACATTTTATAAGGAAACTCCAGATGGATGCATGGCACAACCTACATCATGCAGAGAAATAAATCTTAATAACTGTAAAGACGGAGAGTCAGTGAGTGGAAACTGTTATTGGAAAACTTCTACTTGTGTAGAAAAATAATGTGAAAATTTAGGTTTAAATACTCATGATTAATGTCATAATGTATTGAGTACTTGCACTGTTGCTCAAGATTTGTAAAATTGTATGAAACTAGCTACCGAATGTAGTAGTTATAAAAAATAAGAGAAATATAAATTTACTTCAGATAAATCTTTATGTAGTTGGAGAATTGATAAATGCGTTAATATATAATTTTCTGATGCTGATAATTATGAATCTTATAATACAAACTTGAAATGCTCAGAATTTCTAACAAAAACAGACAAATGCATTGTTGTTGAGAGTGAAAAATTTAGGGTGCATTGATAAATCTCCTTTATGTAGTGATTACACTTCTGATAGATAATGTTACTCAACAAAAACAGGTTAAGAATGTATATGGGCAACTGGGAAATGCTTAAATAAATCAGATTTCGCAGTAGGAGAATGCTCTACTTTAAAGGGACAAAATAAGATTGTGAGAAATATCGATTAGAATGTTATAATTAAGTGAGCGCTTTAGTTACTGATAATTGTATATTAGATTGTACTAAAAAGACAGGATCAGACTTAACACTAGAGTTTTGTGCAAGTATAAATTCTCAGTGTTCTCTTAGTAGTAGAAAGAATTAATGCGTCGGCATTAAATCTTCTTGTTCGGATTATACATCAAGTACTGATTGCTATAAATCTACTCAAAGTTATTGCTTTTATTCAAATGGTAGTTGCATTTAAATCACTTCTGTTACAGATTGCCAAAAAGTTAATTCTGGTGTTTTAAGTGATTCCATTTGCAAACTGTATAATAGTGCATGTACAATTAATTAAGCAGGCACTTCATGTTAGGAAAGGAAAGCTGCTTGTACTAATTATGGCACAACTTAAGCAGATTGCAGCATTTCGACAAAAGGAAATTGCTTATGGAAAGATTCAACTTGTATTGGTATAGTAAAGCCTGCAGGTTCAGATATGTGTTAAATGAAATTTTGTGTTATGGGATCATTAAAACATTCTTCATGTTAAGATTTTAATTTGGGTTGCACAAGAAATCAAGAAGGAAGTCGTTGCCAATTTTAGGATACTGTTTGTTTAAACTACACAAAGTAATCATAATGTAGGGCTTCAACAAACAAGTATTGTCGATGGAAAAATAATGCTTGCATTAAATCAACTGATATTTCGACTGAATGTGAATTATTTTCTTCTTTATCAATTAGTGAGGTAGGCTGTAGCAATCTACTTACAGATTGTATTAATTTAATAGATAACAGTGGTTGCCAGCCTATTAAAACAGATTGCAGTGGTTATTAATCAGAAAATGCTTGTAATAAAATTTCATCAATCTAATGTTTTTGGAATTCATCATGTAAATCTTATGCTTCCACAGCTGTTTGTGAATTAATTAGAAAAAATAATCTCACAAATGAAGATTGCCTTATATTCTCTAATAATAATTGTGTTATTGGTGATGGCAAATGTTAGATTAAATCAGCTACTTGTGCTGGTTATTCTACTAAATAATCGTGTACTTATAGTACTGAAGATAAATGTATGTGGTTAAATGATAATTGTTTTGCAATTTCTTATCCTTAAATCTATGAAGCAGTTACCACAAAAGGAGGTAAATCTTATTGTGAGAAATAAAATTCTATATGCACTGTTAACATTGAAGGTTACTGCTAATTAAGAAAAGCAAAATGCTCTGATTATTAATCAAGTGCTAAGTGCTCATTTTCAGATGAAGGTCGGTGTTTCTGGAATACTGCTTGTACCTTATTGTCATCATCAAAGATTCTTGTTCATAAGTGACTGGTTATAATTTGAGACATGATGTATGCCATTCATTCCATCCTGAATGCACTATAGATACTTCTCTTTCATAATGTAAATTAAATCCAAGATGTAAATTAGCAGAAGCAAATTATGACATTGATGGAAAGAAATGTCTCAGAACATCTCTACCTGACAACTCACTAACCTCTCTTAAAATAAGCAAATTAACTCACTAACCTCTCTTAAAATAAGCAAATTATAATGTGAAGATTTAGCATTATCGGGAGGGTATTCCCATAGTATTTGCTCTTAAATGGGTTATGATTGCACTGATAATAAATCAAAAACCAAATGCATAACGATGAAATCATAATGTTAAGATTATGGTGAAGAATGTGCTGACGCGACAAATGCAGGGAAATTCTGTTATATAGACAATAATATATGCATGCAAATAACATCCAAATCGTAATGCTCATAATTTATAGATAAGGATGTAACTGATTAGTAATGCACATCTGTGTTAAATGGTTGCGTACCAAATTTTTCTCTTACTCAATGTTAAGAATAAAAGCAAACATGCGGAGAATACCTTACAAAAGATACTTGCACATAATCTGTGGAAACTTATAGGTGTGTATTTTCAATATTGAGCTCCACTTGTATAAATTCACCACCATGTCCACAACTCGCTAGTCACTTATAATCTATATGGGATTGCTCTAAGTATGGCTGTACAACTCTAGATGGTCAGTGTGGAAATAAGGGAGATCAATAGTAGAGATAACAAGTGCTATCCTAAGGATGGTGTTTGCGGTTATCTTACTGATTGAGGTATTTTAAGTGGTAATTATGGCTTTGAAGCGTGCAGACAATATTGTGTAGTTGCTAATTGTGTGATTTCCACCAGTGGAAGTTGTATGAATGCAAAGGCTTGTAACCAATACACAACTGAAGATACTTGCACACTTGATTCTACTTATTTCCAACTTTGTTATTGGAAGTGGCTTCTGCTATCCTTTAGCTTCTTCTAGTGAATGCTCAAAAATATCAGGTACAATGCGTACCTATTGCAATACTTATTCTTGGAAGAAGTGCATTGAGAATTATAAAGGTTGCATTGCAGCCAAATAATGCTATGAGTATTAAAACCCTAACGATTGTTACTCTTACTACAGTAATAATTATATAAAAAAATGTTATTGGGTGGCTTCAGATAATGTTTGTCATGCATTTGGATAAACAAATTGTAAACTAGTTACGGGTACATGATTAACTCATGAGTAATGTTAAGAATATAGTTCTTACTGCACAGTGAACAAAAATGGAACTTAATGTTAAAAGTTTGGTGACAGGTGCTGGTACGATTATAAAGAGGAGGCTTCCTGCTCAGTTGCTATCGAAGGAGGATGCATATGGAGTGGCAGTTGTTATAAAATCTCATAATGTTCAGATATCAATGGTAAAAGTAATCTAACTGATTCTACCTGTTAATTATATGGTTCTAATTGTACTGTAAACAAAGCAAGAACAGCCTGTTAGGATAAATTGAATAATTGTAGTGATTATGGGACTGATGAAACAAAATGTTCTTATTCAAAAAATGATATTAAAGTTATAATATAAAATGTACATGAAAGTCTGATAACAATACATGACTATAAATGGCAAGTAAATGCAATGAAAATAAATAAAATACTTGTTATGCTTCCTAGGGAGGGGTCTGTTTTTATAGATCAGCCTACTGCTTTTCGCTTCCAGAAGATTAGTGTAGCTTAATACCAACTACAAATTTGACAAGAAAAATATGTTCAAGTTATAAACCCTGTTAACTAAATAAGATAGGAGATAAATGCGTATATAAAGCAGCAACTTGCAGTTATTATTCCACTTAAAGCACTTGCGAAAGAGAATCAAATGAGGGACTATGCGTCTGGGATGTGTCTTGTGTTAAAATATCAAAAGCATCACATTGCTCATAGGTTTTCCTTGAAGCTTCTACAGATCCAGCCTGCAGTAATAATATATTGAGAATGAAAACATAAAATGCAATATGTGTTGGAATCAATAATCTTTGCGCCTCAAATGCATCAACAACAGCATGCCAGGAAATGAAAAGCACTTGTGATGAGTATGGTACAGATAACATTCTTTTACATATGCAACAGAAGGCATTTGCTATTTTGATAATGTTAGTAATAAATGCATTCAGACTCTTACTGATTGCACAATTATTGTTGAAAATAATCCTTCTAATACTGTTAGCTCATTGTACGATGGTTGCGTAGTAAATTCTACAAGAACTGCTTGTTAAAATATTCAAGCTAAGTGCTCTAATTATATAGAAAGCCAATGTTCAGTAGCAACTGAGAGAATTTGTATTTGGTTCGAAAACGAATGTTAAAAATTCATTCCACAACCTGTTAAATCTGATTGTTCTAACACAATAGGATCAAAATGAAGTCACACAAATTGTTAATTTTATAGTTAAGATTGCACATCAAATTATTCTGGTTCAAATTGTATCTTTTATTAGGAGACATGTGACAAATATTTAGATTCTGATGATTCTTCACAAGCAAAAAATGGAAAATGCATTTTTATGGCTCCTAATTGTAAAGCAATTTTGTCTTCTGCTGATTGTTAATTAGTAGTTGATAATACTAACAAGCTAACACATGAAATTTGCTAATCCTATAACATAAAATGTACTGTAAATAGAGAAAAATCCGCTTGCACAGAATTTAAGATTGCCTGCTCTAGTTATTCCATTTAAAATTGTGTTCAATCTTAAAATGGCTTATGTTATTCGTAATCAAATGCTTGTTATGAAACAAGCGAAGCAACAAATTGTAAAAATATTGAATTAGGAGCTGGAAGGGCCTCTCATGAAAGCTGCACAGCTATAAAATCAATTTGTACTAAAAATTCTGATAATTCGAAATATGCAAGTAGAACTTGCGAAAACTACATTGATACAGTTTTTAATCATCTAAATTGTAATTTGTGGTTAAATACATGTACTGTTAACAAATATATGAAATGGATGTATTATGATGCCAAATAATTGCGATTCATAAACATCTTCCTGCATTTGGTCCGTTCTTGGTGATTGTTTCCAATAAGGAACTAAATGAGTTCTAAAAACATGCAATTTGGCAGCAGAAAATGCTAATTTGATAATGGTACAAAATGTTCCACTTTCTTATAGACTTGCACAGTTGCGAAAACTGGATAATGTAAACCCAGAGTTAATTGTGACTAATATTTAGAATCTAAGAAATGTATATCTGACAATTCAGGTAATAAATGCTTTTGGAATCCAACCCAATAAAAGTGTGTGTTGTTAAAATGTGAGAATATAGAAGCCACTAATTTATATAATTCTCATGAGAAATGTTTTGCCATTGATACCTTATAACTGAAATGTACTGTAAAATCTTAGAATGGTGTTATTGCTATGGGATGTCAAAGCAGAGCAGCCTGTTCAACATATATTAAAGAATAATGCTATAAGGATAATATTGATACACTATGTGAATGGAATACAAATTTGGCTAATCCTATATGCTCAACTAAGTCGTGTTCAACAGCTCTTAAATCAATTACTACTAAATAAGGGCGTAAAGATTATTATTCAGAACCTTAGGTGGAAAGTACTGTTGCTGCCACTTTAGATTCAGGTATTGTTTCATTAGGAGGATGTTAAAATATCACTTCTTGCTCTAATTATATTCACTAAGATTAATGCTTATTTGATAATAAAGGAAATTAATGTGGTTGGAATGGCGTCAAATGTGATGTTAAATCTTGTTTAACTGCACCAGCAACTTCAGATTATGATGACGATTAAAAATGTAAAAATTACTTTGATAATACTTGCACTGTTTCAGAATCTGGGTAAGGATGAGTTGTTATACCTGATGGATGTGAAAGTATGACAGAAAAATAGTGTTTAAAAAATAACAAGGGGGATCTTTGTTATTGGGATGGAACCTAATGCATAACTAGATCATGCGAAAATGCACCTGATTCATTAAGCTCAAGTGATTAATGCAATAGTTATTTATAAGGATGTACAAGAGAGGATGTTACAAAATGTAAGACAAAAGCATGTGAAGAATTTGAGTTTAGTAGTAATGATGAATGTAGATAAGCAATGCCCAAATGTACATCAAATGGAGTAAATTGTGTTGAAAGAGGATTTTGTAGTTAAGCAAGTAAAGCAGGATGTGTAACATCAAAGTATAATGAAATATGTGATTGGGTAGAATAATAAGGAAATTCAAAGGCTTATTGTGCGGTTAAATCTTGTAGCACTGCTCCAATATCATATACAACTGATACTTAATGTAGTTAATATTTATCTAATTGCACTACTAAATCTGGAGGCGGATGCATTATTAAATCTACTTGTTAAAATACCAAAATATCTGCTGCGTGTATTACTGCCTTAGATGGCACTAAATGTTCATGGGATTCATAATTAAATTAATGTACTCTATAAGATTGCTATGATTTTACAGGAACCTCGCATTCTATGTGTAAAAATATTAAACCCACTTGCACTGTTGGGTTAAATGGAAAATGTGCAAAAATGTAAAATTGTGAATCAACAACTCTCAAAGCTGCTTGTGTCGAAGGATTAAACGGTCCGTGTTTATGGATAAATCAATACATTAATTTTGATGGTACCAAAGGTGCATGCTTTTAATATTCATCTTGTTCAAGTATTTCATGGACGACACACGCTGAATGTTAATTAATTTCTAGTAATTGCACAACTGATGGTTTTAAATGTGTTGGCCTCTTGACCTGCGCTGAAACCAATACAAATGGAGGATGCATAAAAGGGATAGATGGTTTATGTGCTCAAAGTTTCCCATCGACTAATACAGCTGGCCCAGAAATATGTAAATTATTTACTACTTGCGAAGATATTTATTATTCAACACATGATCAATGTAATAAATCAAATAAGTAATGTACAACAGATGGATCAAATCGTTGTATGACACTGGGAGTATGTTCAAATTATAAACTAAATCAGAATTGTTTTTTAAATGATAAAGGTTAAATCAAAGAAAATGGATAAGTAATATCCACAGGAATATGCATTTGGGATAAAACTTAATGTAGAGATCAGACTTGCGAAGATTTAGAAGGTACAAGTCATTAAACTTGTAAACAGTAGTTATCTAAATGTACATCAAATGGATAAAAATGTATAGCTTAAGATAAATGTTCAACATTCTAAACACAAAGTATTTGCTAAAATGCTGTAGGAACTGATGGCATTTGTTTTTGGGAAGCTGCTTCAGCTTCAAATAACAACAAAGCTTTGTGTAGAGTTAAATTATGCTCAGATATTTCAAATGGATAGACAGCAGCAATATGTCAACAGAACCTATCCACCTGTATTTCAGACGGAAATTAATGTATTGCTCAAAGTAAGTGTTCTGATTACAAAACTATAACAGGATGCAATTATGGTGGTTTAGATGGAATTTGTATCTTCACATAATCAGTTGCTAAAGATGCAAAAATAGGAGATGGTTCATGTGCTTTGATGGTTTCCTGTGTAAGCGCTTCTTCATCATAAATAGCATGTGAAAAAGCTAAAGATAAATGTGCATGGACTCCTAAAAGTGAATAGACTCCAAGTAAATGCTCTCCTCATACATGTGAAACCTATAAGTTAACAAATCAAGTATGCACCAATCTTCTTAATTGGAATAAAACAAGTCAATAATTTTGTTCTGAAATAAATGGCCTTTGTTAGGCAGTTGATCCAGCAACATTAACATATTCAAACTGTTTTGTTACAAC